ATACAGCGAAGTTTCCATGCCATGGATGTGTGTATGGACAGAGGTACAATAGCAGAGAAGAAGTCAGTAATTCCGGAGTTGTTCTTTAATTGGATCTCCTTCGGCCGCGCGCTTTGGAATAGTTTTTACCGGTTCTCCATACGGACAGTATATGGCTGCCTGTTAGTGCCCCATTGACAGTAATAGGAAAGTCGCCCAGCATACACCTGGTCATCGCTCCCTTCACCTCTGGATAATAAAATAATCGGTCGCCATAGATTTTTCAGCAGGCTAACAATTCTGCGCTTCCCAACTTGTTGTGGGTCACGGCGTGACTCGCATTCGGCTCTCTTGTCAGTTCGATAGTATCTTTTTTTTTTTTATTCGGGAACAAATTCGATCACAAAAACAGCGATTTGCCAACAATTGATAAGCATAGTCCTTAAAAGCGGGCACATCGGCCTAAAGAACTCCTCAAATACCCGGTCGTTATCTGGTAATCCATTATCATTTTAATTTATGATTTAGGTGTGTACAGAACCCGGCGCCCCAATGGCGGCTTGCATGTCATATGAGTCAACAGCGTTTATTTGCTGAAAGATCTTTGGAAGACTTTGTTATCTTTCTGGGTGTATTCGGGTCTCATTGATTATCAGGCAGCGCAAAGAGCGGTAACAAGTGACAGTCGATAGATGTCGCCAATGAATGGTGATTGGTTGGTATGGTGTACTGCGCTGGGTCCAGTTTTGGCTTATTAAGAGACCTGATTCTCGACCTAAACCCTAATTTTATGTATTGCCGCTAAATTTACATAAAAAAAGTATCTATCTATCTATCTATCTATCTATCTATCTATCTATCTATCTATCTATCTATCTATCTATCTATCTTGAGCTGCACACAGACTACACTCCTTGATTGTGTAACTTCTATCCATCCATCTCCATCCTCTAGTGTCCACTCTCTTGGCTGTCACATATTAAATGGCACAAGTTCCCCACCCATTCCTGACTTTTACGTATATGTGTTCTGGGTTTGTTGGCTGAGCTCCTCAGTATGAATCCTGAACCCTCATTCTGTCTGGTGAGAGCTCTCCGGCTTCGGCAGGCAGGCGTATTGGTACAACAATGGACGTTGACATTCTATCGGGCTGGTGACTTCTCTGGGAGGAGGGGGGGGGGGTCAGTGGGCTAGCTCCCATCTCTGATTGGCTTCCACACTGACAAGCTGGCAGGTTGGCACCCACCTCTCTTATTGGAGAACTGGCATCCATGGAGATAAGGATCCTCTAGACTTGGTTCCCTTGCCTTAAAGCTTGGATGAGTCTTTGTTGTAGACTTTTGTGGGTTTTTTTGTTTTTTTAATTGTTTTGGATTCGTCTTCTGTGGAGAGACATCCATTCTAAAATGTTCACTGTTGGAAGGTAGCGTTTTTGTGTTAAATTTGCTTTTTGTTTTTCTTCCCTTTTGAACCCTCATTTTTGTTTTTCTCATTTAAACCTTCATTCAAAGGGTGATGTTGTTGTGATTTTCAATAATGTATGAATTAAATTTCTTTGATGTGTACGTTATCACAGCCGTACCTGTCAGAATCCGGAAACTTTTGTTTGTGTTGATTGCATTTTAGAAATGTTGTTTGGGGAAAAAGGATTTCTGTGTTTTGTATTTAGAAATATGGTGAACGGGTAAATATTGTGTATAGCTTTTATTGCTGGGCAATACAACTAAGTGGTGTGACTGTATTGATTAATACAGCATATACCCATAAATCCATGTATGTGGAAGGATATATATGTGATATATACAACTAGATGGCGTGGCTGTGATTTATATTCATTGAATGATTTTAATACAGCATATAACCAGAAACGGGGAAAAAAAATAAGTGGGAGAGAAAAAAAAAGATGTGTGTGTTTATTTTGATATTTCAAAGCCCCGCACTTTTTCTAAAATGTCCTCCGGTCCTTTTTTTTTTTTGCAATTCACCCTCTATTGCACTCTTTTAAATTGAGTTCATGAAAAATAAAATAATTGTGACATTTAGAAAAGGCAGCAAGCTGTGTTACAGAGATCCTATTGGTAGTCTTTGAATACATGTGTGGCTTTTGGACATTTAGGATGAAGGGGTAGACATCAATTCACTAGCTGGTTGGTTTAATACCATGCTGGTACCACACTACCATGCTGCGAAGGGTTACTCGGATATTGCAAAGATCGACAGCGTTGTACAAAGTATAGCAACCTGCTGCCTGGTTATTAATAGGATGGAACCACCCAAAACGGATTTTGCTTTCTCATTGAGGATGAAAAGTTGAACCACCTGCCATTGGTTATAGCTTTCGGGGACTGTTTTGTGGCGATCTCTGCCGTGAGTTCCCGGGTCTGCACACCTGCTGTGCTAATTGTTAGGGGTCCCCACCGTTCCTGTGTTTTTTTTATTTGTTTATGTATGTTATATTTTGGAGAAATGTAACAGAAGGATCTGGAACCTGCAATGTTGGGCTAGAACACCCAGAGGTCTTAGGGGGACAGGAACAGAGTTGGGAATTATGGCAGGGAGATCTCAGTGTGGAGTATCCAAGGCATATCCAAAGCCAGGGTCTGACCCAGCCCACTAGGCTTTACCTATAACTAAAATATAGTAAACTGTAACACAGGGTGGGCATCGTCGGCACTCCAGCTGTTGTGTACCTTCAAGACTCTGACAACCACAGGTATGACTCCTGGAGGCAGGGGTGTGCTGGCATTTGTAGTTTCATCGCAGCTGGAGTGTATTATGTTTTTGTTCTTAGGTGTAGATCAGAGCTGGATGGACAGGAGCCAGGTAGCCGATGCTTCCTAAAATTTTCAACTGGTGTCTAACTTTTGAGGTTTCCTCTAGTTGTTGTCAAGGGAGCTGGATCCTAAAAAAAAAAACAATTTGGCTCCTGGATTGGACAGTCTTCCTCCTGAAATGCATATTTATTTGTCCATCCCTGGTGTAGATACTCTTAAAAGCCCAACTCCAGGTTGGGAAGACCCTACCACTGAGGCACCCCCCTTCCTCTGCATTCCTTTTTATATATACACACTTTTTTTCTTTTGGAATGGCCTTTGGTGAGGTCATGGGACATCTTGGGGTCCTCTTCCTCGTCTTCTTTTGGTGATGGTGGGTGGTCCTCAATGATGTAGAGAAAGTCATGCACCATGTAGGGACCTGGGACTCTACTTTGCATCATTCTCCTACAAGTACAGGGCTGCTTGGGGACACCAGCTTGCTTTTAACCTTTTACCTCTACTGCCAGAAAACATTTATTCCTGCCTGCTGAACTCTAAAAAAAAATTACCCACTAAGCGCAGGGTGCCGAAACAACTTGCTTGCGTGGAATTTACGTCATCTCTGGCTGGCCAATAGAGAAGGCTGAAGAACCAATAGAAGTCTAGGAGAAGATGGCTGCGGCAATGGACCACTTGATGCTGGAATATGGAGCTTCAGGAGTAAGTGTGCCATAATGCTGATGTATGCTGTGCAAAAAGGTTCAGGGGAGGGGAGGACCATCTTTCGACAATGTTTAGAGTTGTTGGAATCTCGGTATGGGGTGACAACTGTCAATTGCGCTCCTGCGTCATTCTGTCACATGCTCCCCCCAATGTGTAGTGTCTCTGGAAAGGCCATTATGTGACCCCCAAATGCTCACCTTACCAGTGCTCCTCTGCAGTTGGTGCTGAAACTGACTGAAACTGAAGTCGGCAACCCAGGGGAGCAGTGACATCACATCGAAGGAGCAAGGAGCTGAGAAGGAGCACAGATAAGGTAAGTATTATGGCTTCGGCGGTTGGTGCAGTCTGTGTTCCACTGGCCATTTTCCACCCGGCATCTTCGCCAAAAGTCAATTGGAGCCAAGTCAGCAATTATGAGCACTGTATAGCCAGCTTAACAGTAGCAGGGCCCTCCACAGTGTTTGTTGGAGATATATTCATAGATTTATTTATTTTTCCTTTCAT